TGTACGAATTGTAGTTTTCTTTACCCCAGAAAAGGCTCTTTATATTTAAATACTTTATACTTACATCGAGGGGACCCTCTCTACGGAGGCCGCCATGTTTTTTACATTAGTCCAGACTGGACAAACTAAACACTTTTGAGTTTTTAAGTCAACTGACGGCTTCCACAGGTTCTTTTTCATGTTTGAAAGGAGAGGGTGAGGTGAGGGATGTTCAGCTGCAACATGCAATTTCAACACTAGATATCACAAAATTCTACACACTGTACCTTTAAGTCAAGATCATAACTATAAATCATAACTTAGACAATTATCATAACTAATAATTATAATTGCTTAATTCCATTTAGGTGTGAAATGGGGTAACATACCAAACATCATTATGCAAACCTGGTCCTGACCTGCATTGCTATCAAAATGCCTACTGTAAAAAACATCATTACCATAAATGTATTCATCATTCATGAAGTAATTTACCTGGCTAATGGTGAGCAGTGTGCGTCGCGAGGGCCTGCAAAATTCATAGTTCCTGATTCAAGAACTGTGCGACCTGGGAGAAACTTTACGCTGTTAGGGTTTGGTGTATCCTGTGTTTGCACAAACATGGATCTCCCTTTGAAGAAACATAGCAGAAAGAAGAAGCCATTAATACACAGTTCAATTCAAAAGAGCTTCAAGGATGCTTTAGTAATACAAACCTGGAACAACAAAATGTGGGTTTTGGGGCCATATGTTCGAGACTCCTGTGTTGTGTGAAGGCCAGTGTAATCCAGCGCTCTGATGTCCACAGACAGCAAGACTGACACAGCACATAAAAAGATATGCAAAAGGTTACTACAGTAAAAATCTCATTTACAAATTTACAGAGGAAAATAATCTGAATATTCAGTGCCCACGTTTCTTCCCTCAACTAAATACCTTCTGGGCCTAGGGACCATGCAATCCATTTATAACAGCAGTGAGACAAATTGTTACATGGAACCATCGGTAATGACCTACAATGACTGACACAGCACATACTTTAATATATAGTCAGTGTTTGTCATGTCTTGAAAAAGAGAACACACGATTCACTTACTATTACAGTTTAACTTCTGTGATGTAGCAACTTTATCTCGCAAAATTGAAAATGAAAGGTTTATTGGAATTGAAAAATACATAACACATGATATGTTACATAAAATATTTTTGATAGACTAGATTGGCAGTCAGTAGAGCGCATACCCCTGCCAAGGCCCAACAGTTCCCTTTAATTCAATTAAGCTACACTCATTAAAATCACTTCCCTCAGAAAAACTGTTAATCAAAGTGAGTTAAAAAAATATCTGGATTGAACTTGATTGAATCCGGTCTGAAAGTTAATGTGTTCTTTCTTGGCCTATACCCCACCCTTCCACAGGAAGTTAATGATAAGTTACAACAATATTGGCTCAATAGTTTTGGCGTAATCCTTCTGATAGACAAACAGTGATGAAATCATAACCTCTGAGGTCGTTATAGTCCCCATATTTATCAGATTTTTACTGTCAACTAAAGTATTAACCCCTTCTCTTATTCTTTAACCACTTTATCACCATGAAAGTGTTGAGCTTTCTTGTCATCAACAAAGTTGTGTTGCAAAGCCATGAAACAACAGGCTGTTATTATCCCATCCACCACTGGTGTTTGTTGTAGCTCACAACTTCTCCAAGTCTAAGTGTGTAACTTTGTTAGGGCTGTGAGGTGTTTGGTGATAATTGTTCTGAAATAATTGATATTAAATTACTGTGTCAGCAGTTGAATGAGTGACTAACTCATTACTCAGAAATGCTATGAATAAAGGTGCAGATTAGTTGTCTGCTTGTAAATGATTTGTTTGCCATTGTTGTCAGTGTTGTTGAGAGGTAGGTCTTTCATTACCAAACAGGTACTGTACGTCAAACTACTTGAACTATCTGCTGACTGGATGCATCATTGGCATGCCATGAATCTGACATGATTTAGCTGCTGCTCTCAAAAAAGGTCAGTGAGCTGCTGCAGAGATAGATGGGATAGGCTGATATATATACATATATTTAGTTAGCGTTGTGATTTCATTCTCCTTTTTTTGTATTTTTTAAATACAAAAATACTTACTTTTATTTTGATTATTTTATTTTCATAAACTTAGAATAAGGGTATTTGGTATTTTTAAATACATTTGGATATATCTGTCCATCTCTGGCCACGACACCATTCTTCATGTACATAACTGAATTGAATGTGGAACGTGCTGAATTAATAAGCTACAGTGTGACATGAACAGGACCAGAACATTTGATTCACTCGTTTCCAACACTGTTATGTAAGCGGTAATAATCAGTCTGCGTCACTCTGTGGGTTAGCTGCTTAGCTAGCGGCTAAAGGTAAACACCAGATCTGCTTTGGTCCAGTCAGCTAATTCATACGAGTATTTAAAAAACACAACACGAGGACATAACAACTGACAAACAGATAAACTTACGGACGCGCCAGTCTTGCTGAAATACCCAACAACCTGCCGACCTGTCTGTAAGTCGCCATGTTTGCATAAAATGAGCGGAAGTGGTGATTCTCGTAGCGGAAGTGACGCACAATTATTGTGCGTTTTTTTGAGACTTCCCCAGATTCAACAGTCGCTCTTATTTTCGCCAGCTCAGAAATAACACTACACAACATTTAAAAATGCCGAGTGGCAGAAACTTCAGGAGGAGAAGAGACTCGTCGGATGTGGAAGAAGACGAGACAACTGAAGAAGTCAGGTAAATAAGTGTATTAACACTCAACAAGAACAGAAACATCTTCGACAGAAGCGTCATGTTGCTAACGTGGCGACCTGCTCCTCGTAAAGCTAAAAACAACCACCACACGTGCATGACCGCTGTTATTTTTACTAAGGCACGTAGACCATGTGATTTAATTCAAATATTGTGTCTGGTCGTTTAGATCAAAAGTCGAAGAGGCTAAAGAGCTGCAGACTTTGAGGAAACGACAAAGCGGAGTCAGGTAACGTGAATGTGATGTTGTGCTCCTTGTTACGATGTTTGTTGTAGCTCAAGTTTCTTACAGCAACATATCAGATGAATAAATTCATACCCCCCCCTCCCCCAGTGTGACCGCCCTGCTGGTTGGAGAGAAACTACCCCCAGAAACTGAGATCGATGTAAGTGACGCTGATTAGTTGTTGCGTGTTTAACCGGATGTTCGGTCAGTGTCTAACTCTAACATGTCTCACAGAATGATCCGTTTAAACTGAAGACCGGAGGTGTTGTGGACATGAAGAAAGTCAAAGACCGGAACAGGGACATGTAAGTAAATCTACATGTGTTATGATTCTGTGTAATTGAACTGTTGTGTGCGTGCTGTTGTGTCTTTACATGTGATTCTGATACAGGACAGAAGAGGAAACAGACCTCAACCTGGGAACATCTTTCTCTGCTGAAACCAACAGAAGAGACGAGGATGCCGACATGTATGTACACCTTCCTCAGTTGTGACACACACATGCAGACACACTCTCTTACTTTAGCATTCAAAATGTGTGGACACAGAGGTCAGGCTTAAATTAATACAGATTCAATTAGTGTACAAAAGCACTAGATCCAAGCTTTTTAAAAAATAGGTGCTAGATAGAGATGATGGAAGTCAGCATGACGAGAATGTCAGAATGTCCACACACCAGTCGATGTTCAGAGGTAGGTAATATTTCAGGCACAGGTATTTCTTCTCCTCAGTCAAGTCCCTGTTTCTTCATTTGTTTTTACACCATTATTTATATTTACATGTCAAACAGTAAAATTCAACTACTGCTTTTGATCTAAATATTGTTCATTTTTGTTTCAAATATTTTTTTTTCTGTCATAAATACACTAAAATGTGACACAAAATACAATAGACTTAAGATGTCACTGTGTTAACTCACACAGCTGTTTACAAAGTGCTTATTTCACCTCACAGGATGAAGTATATTGAGACGGAGCTGAAAAAGAAGAAGGGCTTGGTGGAGGCGGAGGAACAGAAAGTAAAGGTGAAGAACGCAGAAGACCACCTGTACGAGCTGCCCGAGAACATCCGAGTCAACTCTGCTAAGAAGACTGAGGAGATGTTATCCAATCAGATGCTGAGTGGGATCCCTGAAGTAGATCTTGGCATCGAGTGCGTTAAGGAGATTCTCAAAATGACGATCTAATCTATGAGAAATAGACTTTCTACATTGAGACATGGTTGTGACAAAGTATTATACTCTGATTTCTTTCCTAGTGCAAAGATAAAGAACATCATCCAGACAGAAGATGCAAAAGCCAGACTTCTGGCAGAGCAGAGGAACAAGAAAAAAGACCAGGGCACATCATTTGTACCAACCAATATTGCTGTGAACTACGTCCAACACAACCGCTGTGAGTTTTTTACCTTTGCCATCGCAGGGTTTTAAATGGTGAGAGATCATGAGAGATAAGAGGTTGTTTAATCTTGCTTATCTATTCCCTCAGTCTACCATGAGGATTCAAATGCACCACAGAGGCATCACAGACACAGAGAGGAGCCTAAGGCCAGACCGCTGCGTGTGGGAGACACCGAGAAACCAGGTCCAGAGAGTAAGAGACCGCACACAGCCACATCCCGTCACACAATTCTTCACACTTTTCTATCAGTAGACTGTAGAATGATGCTGTGATCACTCTGTCGGGGGAATATCAATTGATGAACATTGTTTTTATGAACTGTCTGGATTTAGTTACTATTTCAAACATTTATATAAATAGTTACACACAATTCCTTCTGAAATCTGATTCATTACTACTTTTTAATTCACAGCAACATCCCCGCCCAACTACCGCAAACGTCCAAACAATGAAAAGGCCACCGATGACTACCACTATGAGAAATTCAAGAAGATGAACCGAAGATATTGAGGAGCTGCATGTTGTTTTCAATAAGAACTCAACAGGTCTAATTTTAAAGAGATTGAGTCACAAAAGATCATTAGTGGAGTGGATTTCCTGAACAATGTAGATGACAGTCCTCCTGAGTGTTGTGCTTTGTAAATATTGTATATATCCTTGTGTCAGTTGCTTACATTGTTCAGGTTGGTCTGATAATCAACAATTCGACAGAAAAGACCAGAATATGTTGTGAACATGAGAATTGTTAAACTAAGGGATATCCCAGCTCTGAGTTGTTTAGCATGTTATTTTTAGTCAAATTTAAATTAGTAGCTTTAATTTTTGAATGCTTTCAAAAACACATTTGAATAAAAATGTTAAATCAACATTTAACTCTGTTCTTTAATTTGATCAGTGCTTAATGAATACAAAAAAACAACTAATGAAACATTACAAAAGTGAAGGTTTACAAAATCAATACAAGAACATACAATTGCAAAGGTATAAAAATCTGTTGTCTGGATCTTATTTTAAATTAATTTAGAAAAAAAAATCAATTTATTGTTCAGAGTAGTTTCTTTATTTAACTATTTTCCTGATACTTGTGAATACAAAAGAAAACAACCTAAATTTCAAACTGTTAGTCCAGTTTAAAGTCAATAAAGAAAACCGTGGCAAACCTAATTAGACACTAGTTCAGGATGTATGATGGAAACTAAATTAGCCAATGTGCTATCGTCCAAACTGAGCACGTGTTGTGTCTCCAGTCACTGTCCATTCTCCTCCTCACTGTTTCTCTATGGAAGCAGTCCCATGACCGTTGAGGTGGTGTTGGGGGTTTGTCTCCTGTGATGGAGGTGCGTCCATGTCTTCTCTGTCACCCTGGATAGAGCTGCAGCTGCTTCCTGGTGAGGTCCAACTGTCTCGCTGCCGGTAGGCCTCGCACAGCGGAAGATCAGTGCTGTCCCACTGACTGTAGCTTTGTAGGGCAGAAACCAGCGGGAGGCAAAGAGTCAGCGCAGCACAGAAAGAGAGGAGCAGACAACAGCAGCAAGTCAGAATAAGCGCATCCGTCACAGGGAGGGGGCACCAGAGGGAACATGTATGATAGAAGCATGGAGGTTATGCAGAAGCACTGGAAATGATCATGATTACAAAAAGCTGTTTATGAGTTATTTGGTATTATTAAGAGGTATGACTGATTAGCGGTGGATTTTAAGTTTGACAAAAAGGTGTGATTAGTGGCTGGTGGGGGAGAAAGCAGAGCGAGTGCAGCGAGGAAGAAAGGCCCACACCCAGCATGCTCAGAGCAGGACTGAGAGACACTTTCTCACACAAAACAAGACAAACAATTATAGTGTTTTGTCTCTACTTTATTTCTTTATCGTTTTGGGTCTAGTGGAACAGCCGGCAGAAACTGGTTCACACGTACAACCACACCATGTGTGACTGACAGCTGCTTGCGTGGTTACAGCTCATTCGGACGGAATCAAATAAATATTACCTACTGATTGCTTTTACAGAAAAAACATCTACTTGAGAAAATCTTAGTTTTAGGTCTGACCTCAAATAAATAACAGCAAACAGTTGTGTCTTATTGTTAAGACCATGACAAACATCGGTCAACACTCCAGTCTTAACATGAACCATATGTGAGGTCACTTATATATTTATTTACATATAGTCTTAAATGAATCATACTTTGATAAAATCTATACTCTGATAAAGTTTTAGTTAATTTAATGTGTAATTCTTGTAAAAGGTGTTATTCCCTAAAATGCTTTGTTACTTCAACTTACAATAATTCATTATAAATGAACTTGGGATCCTGAATACTTACATTCCACTAAAACATGTCTCTCTCCCATGTACCAGATAATATTCGTAAGAACCTCTCTAAAACCTCTCAGATACTGCAGACAAGGAAACCGATAAATTTCATTACCATTTATAAATAAACTCTAGTGATTTCTATTCAGAAAAATCTGACTTTCAAACTGCATCAGCAAACTGCAATAAATGGCCAAACTAGGTACTGAACTGCTGTAGTTCAAGAGCTTAATACATGTGCACTCCTGATTTTCAGCGGTATGTCCCTTTAATGCTGAAGTCCTCGTCACTTGGACTAATTCTGACACACGTCATCGAGCAGGTAAAAAAATTAAGGCACTGGTTTATCAGTAACGATGTAGAGTCACTTGTTGAGTTGAGCTTCATCACAATGACCCTCAGCAATGACATGTTGATGAATGATACAGTTTGGATGTGACAAAAAGATAAATCCAAAACAAAAGGTGTCAGGTTTAGAGGCCGGCAGGTGTAAAACCTTCCATGGGCTCAACAGTGAATGGTGAATGGTGAGACAGTACATGGTGCTGGGCATGGGGCAGAAGAGGGGCGGTGGGATGGGGACAAGTATAAGCCTACTTGTACCTGGAGGAGTAATATTCTTCCTCGAGCTCATACAGGTCGATGGCGATCTCGTCGCGGAGCGAGGTGAGCTTCTTGTCACACTCCTCCTGCAACGAGCGGAGGTGCTGGTTCTGGAGGCTGATGGCGTCGTTCACAGAGGGAAAGTCGTTCAGGATCAAGAACTGCTTTAGATCAGACACCAGCTTCATGAGGGACTCACCGGCACGTACCTGATACAAGACAGGAGATGGATGTGTTGTTTGTTGTCTACAGACACATTCAAAGTCCAGAAACACTGTCACTTAGAAAGCTTGGATAAATTAAATTATCATTGAGTGATTCAGTTAGTATAAGTTCATAATGTGCATCGGAACTTAATCTTAAATTCTAGTGGGGATCTGAAGTTTAAAAAAGGGCTAAATGTCTCAATTTAATGAACATGTGCAGCCATACCTAACATGGATTCTTGTGAGTGGATTTTCCACTCAGTGTAAACATCAGGTAGCTTGAATAAAGAGTAAGCTGACAGAATTTACTGAGAGACAATGTGGAATAAAATTGATTTCGCAACACCCTTTAATCTCCTTAGAGGAAAATTAAAGGGGAAAATACTGCCTTATTATAAGGAAACACAAACAATATCTCCTGATATTCTTAATTACTGAACATAATTAATATACTTAATTATGTAGGTGTTTTAAAACCTAAAGTACACTCATTACACTCCGCTGCTACAGACGTATATAAGTTTAAACTGTCCTCATTTGTAGAAGTAGTTAGTACTTTTATCTAATTGATTTTTTGTATTTATTCTGGTATTTCTGCTTTTTTATTCATTGTACAGCACTTTGGTAAACTCTGGCGTGCTTGATAAATCAACGTGACTTGACACTTACAATGTTGGCTGCTCTGACGTGCATTTCATAGTGGTCCTGCTCGGCTTGAGTTGCTCGAGCAACCTGCGTCTCATCCTCTATCTGGAGGAAGCAAACAGAACCAGGTGAAGGAATGTCCAATCAGAAGACTGAGGGGAATAGAGACTTTCTAGATCTGCTGACAGGGAATCTGCTGCTTTCACAGGTAACAAAAGGAAAACCTAAGACACAGACAGTGTTCTAGAGATGGTGGTGTGCCTGTGTACCTTCGCAGTTTTAATGATTTCAGTGAAGTTGTCCAGGATGGACCTGATGTCATCCTTCAGCCTCTTGTTGTAGTTCTGCAGCAGAGTCTCTTTGCTCTGGGGGAGAACTCTCTGAGTGGCCATCGTGTTCAGGAACAACACAGCACACGCTACCTGTTCACACCAGGTTAACACACATACTCTGTTGAGCTGAAGAGGCTCAACAGTGAATCATCAAAGTGGAACACAGCGAGCACGAACACCACTGACGACAGAGCAGCTAGCTAGCATGGGCAGGCGGGCACATTCACAACAGCGGAGACGAACCTGAAAGTCACGTGCTTCTAGTCTCTGTACAACCGATTCAATAACTCTAAATATATGAATAATAATCCAGTAATGATAATAAGTAAACTCTTACCGCATACTTTGCAAACAATGAGTTTAGCGCTGTATTCTTCTTCTTCTCCTCCTTCTGTTCTCTTCTTCTTGCGTCCGACAACCCTCGGGGTGCACATTACCGCCCCCTAGCGTTATTATAAGTAAACCCCTTTCAAAACAGAAAACATTTGTGACATCGTTTTATGTTTACATGTAGAGCTTTGTACGATTTTCTTTTCTTTCCCCTTCTATTATTATCATTATTATTATTTTAACACATGCACACATATAAGCAAAATGGCGGCTCAGATCCTCCCAGGATCTCAAATGACAAATTACAAAGAAATAAGTACAAAAAAGTACAGTACTCGCTAATTTACATCCACAAATGAATGATGCCTGTGATAATAAATAACTGCAACAACTTCAAATTGTGATTTACATTCATTTAATATTTTGTTTATGACTTGCAACATGGTTTTCAAAGGCAGGCTGTGCAGCATTAACAAGTGTTTTGAGTGCTTTTCTTTTTGTCCAACAGTGTCATCAGCGTTTGAATCCTCCAAAGATTTGCAACACTGGTCAAAATACACTTTACAGCAGTGTTACAATCAAAAAACATTCTTAGAGAACCCTGACTCTGTGTCAGTGACTATGTGCAACCTTCATGTATGTATATAAGGTGGGTGAGACAAGTGGGCATTAAAAAAAAACACTTCAAAAAGAAAGAAAACATGATTTTAGATTGCAACAGGAGAACACAGTAATTAAACTTTGGGTTGAGACAGGAGTGATCCCCTTTCTTAAAAGTGCCATGGTGGGTGTTTTATAGTGTTTTATGATTTTACAAAGCACATAGACAATAACAAATATTTCAAAATGGCGATGAAATAAATTCAAAAGGAATGTCATCAGTCACCATTCATGACGTCACGTATAAGACACGACTGTTACGATCCATGACTGGATACTGCAAAGCATGAAGTGCAGTAAATATTTCTGTAACTCCAGGAAAGCATTGTTTTCTCTTCAGTTATTTGTAAGTGTGAGTCACAGTTTTTACACAGTGATGTCTATGATAGAGAAGCATTACAGAGTTGACATAAAACCTTGGTGCATATAAATACTGCAGACAGCAACAGGAGGTCGTACACAAGTACTTGGAGCTGAATGCAAGTGCATTAAAATGAGGTGAATGCAGCCGTTTTTCAGGAGGGCACAGAAGGCAAAATGTGATTCATGATGTTTGACATGGAGGGAAGAGCGTAACTCTTCTGAGATAAAGTGAGAAGAAATAAAGATAAGTGAATCTTCTACATTGACGTAACATGAAGAGTGAATGTTCTAACATTTATATAAAGTTTGTACATCACATGGAACAAACACTGATATTTCAGTTCCATTAGATGGGACAGGACAGCGACAACAAACATAATATATGAACAAAACATTTTTGATTGAGGGAAAAATGCATCATTATCAAACTATCAAGCGTAAACTCACAGTTCCAACACCATTCACTTTAAGGCCACGATTGAATGACCATCTACAAATTTCTTGCTTGATATGATTGTAGATTCTTTTCTCATAGCAGTGTTCAGACACTGCAAGACATAGTCACGCTGTTTTGTCTTTACCTCTCAGGCTTCTGTGAAGTTATGACCCTGTGATTCAAGCTGAATCTTTCCATTCTGAGAAACAGCTGCAACAAAGGAATGAGGCGTTATCGCGTCATAGCTTCACAGTAAAGCTCAAATACAATCGAGGACAAGCTCCCTCATTACTGTGGTGTGTTTAGCGCTGACAAAAAAGTAACTGAGGTAGGCAAGAAAACAATCAAATGCTTGACCACCATATTATCTTTTTCTCAATATATACGTACCAAAAAGATTAAGAGCAAATCAAAAAGTAAAAGATGTGACAGGAAAAAAAAAATCAGGTGAATCAAAGTGACCAGGATGTCAGTTTTCTTATTTTTACGCAGGATTTGTGATGATCTTTGCACCAGATCAGAGCCAGATGAGAGTGAGATCCATGCAGGCCTGCAGTCCAGCTGCAGTGCTGGCGACAGCATGCATAACGCCTGGTACAGTTTGCATAAGTGAGAGCGGTGCTGATACCCACTGCCCTGACCTTAGATTGGGTTCAGGGCTTTTCCTGTGGGGCTTTGAGGTGAAAGGGTGCAGAGACGAAGGGGTCTACAGCACTCACTTCTGACGTCCATGAGTGAAGAGGTCCAACGGGGACTGATGCCACAGCTTCCTGCCTGCTCACGTTAGACACCACTCTGTGAGCCGCTACCAGCTGCTGGGGCACAGGTCCCTCAAAGTGTCGGGAGTATTTGGCCAGAGCTTGAGGGCGGAATGGTTGAGGAGCGACCTGTCCCAACGCGTCTTGATCAGGGCTTACAGCATGAACTCCAGCTATGTGAGGGTGCGACGCCATGGGTTGAGCTCCTGCAGCCTCCTTTCTTTTTCCGAAGGGAGCCTGCGAGAACACGTCAAGCTGCTGCTGAGCTTCCAGGGGGCCACGTAGGAAAGGAGCATTGGTGAACACATCGGCAAAATCTTCTTGCACAATCTGAAAGGGGGCTTTAGAGAAGACATCTGCAGCAACATTTGCCCCCTGTGCTGGCTCGGGTACGTGCTGGGTATGATTCTGAGCGAAGGTGCTTAGAGTAGGTTGATCGAAGGTCGTGGTTAGTTGTTGTGTTGGGTCTGCGTTGGACTGTGCTGATGAGTGGAGGTCTAACTGAGGCCCCTGCTCGTCTTCATCGTCAGAGTCCAGCAGCAGAGGTCTGGAGCCGCTGAGGTCATGAACTGCTATATGACTCTCAGCAGCTCCTCCATCCTGCTGATCTTCTTTATGGACTTCTTTCTCCTCTTCTTCCTCACTGGAGTGCACACAGACCTCATCTGTTTGAACATCTACCTCTGGAGCTTCAATCTCTTGTCCCTCCTCCAGCTCGGTGTAGTCGTTGCTCTCTCCTTGCGGATCTGTGAAAGACAGCAGAAGCGGAGAAAACATATCAGAGGTGAACACAAATGTCAACAGACATTTTTAGTAAAAAAAAAAAAAAAAAGTATTCCTGTTAACAAACCAGGCCATCAAATCTCATCATATATAAAATCTGCAAAAGCCTGATCGATGACAACGACCTGACAGTGAGGAACCAGCAGAAGACTCCCACAATACAAACACATTCTAGTCTAAACAAGTCACAGGACACGGACAGGACTACCAGCGCTACTACTACAACATCAAGTAACCTTGTTTCCACAAATAGGTTTCAGTACAGCTATTCAGTATCCTCAACATTGCAAGGACAGTGCGTTGTGTTAGGAGAGGGGGGGGCAGTTTGATTTTAGTCAGGATCGATTGTGTCAAGTTAAAGGAGCTCAGACGGAGTCAGTGGCTCTGTGGAAACAAGGACAGAGAGCCTTCATGGCACGAGTAGAAGTAGTTAGTGGGACAGACAGGTTTGCATGGATAAGCAGAGACAAGTCAGTCTTACCTCAGCAGCGTTGACTGTTAACTGGCAGCTCTTGGGAAGATGTTAGTTGCAGCCATTAAAGGAAAACACCTCTTTTGTTTGAGTGTTTAAGGTAATTTCTCTCATCATACAAGTATTTGAAACTGTCCACAGCCTGTTTCCAAAATGTTCCATTTTTCCACTTTGACACAAGAGTTGATAAAAGTAAAAAAATATCCACAAATCATTTCATCTGTCAGAGCTGACTACCAAGCACAGTAAACAGTGAAACAGCGTTGATCATGAAGAGCTATAGATCCATTACATTACAACTCACTGAATCTACAATCTGTAAATCTGTGGTACAAACTAACAAGCAGGAACACAACTTAAAGTCCCTTTTGCTCTGGAATCCCAACAGTAGTGAACAGGTGTGTGACTTTAAAATACATCTGTCAACGTCCATGAAGCAAAGAACTTCAAAAATGTATAAAAACTATTTTAGGTTTCCTATAAATCTCTGAGACACTTGTCTATACTTGTATGGTGCACACACAAAACAATGTTTGAATAATGACCAGAGAACACATGAATAGATACCATAATGTTAGAGTATCTGCAATCTAATTTGGTTCCAAGAAGGACAGTCTGTTGAAGAAAATCACAACTGTCTCATTTGGTCCCTATGCTCTTTAGTGTAATAATCAAATAATGTGACCCAAAGACACTTAACTTCCATTCACGTTAATGAGTTTTATTCAGAGCCTCTCATTTTGAACCATAATCCATAAAAATAGAAGTATACACTCAATTATGATCCTGCTTCTGTGGACATCTGTCACCAATTCAAGTCAGAGTTATCAATATGCCTGTCACCACGTCAACCCCACTATTACAGTTAAGTACATAAGTTTCACAAAGCAACACATGTAAAACTCTACAGCCAAGGCAAGAAGTCTACAGGATACAGCACTGTAGTGTCAACATGAAGCTTGTTGTAGGATTGCATAGATCAGCAACACAGATGCAAATGACTTAACTGAACCAATAAAGATGGAGGGGGAAAAAAAGCATTTCTTTTTACCCAAGTCAGTTCTTAGAGAAATGCTGATGTGTGTGAATTTACAATGTCATACAGGCATGAGAAGGTGGTGAAAACTATTCATGTCCCACATATACATCAATGATGGCAAATCAGGGGTAATGTACCATTTTCTGTTTGTATATACACGTATAAGGTGATATGGACCTTATATAGAGACTTGCATCACATAATGAACTTCCTTTGGCGAGAGAAATCTATTTATTTTATGCTAAGGATGCAATGCAAAGTCAGCTGTGACCACATGTAATGTAATATAATGTATGCAGCTGTTTTTCCATGTCTCATGATCATCAGTCAAATGACAAGGTGAAAGGTGCAACAGAGGTATCAGGAAGTCAACTCCGTCATTAGCTCTGTCTTGGATCAAATCTATCTCAGTTATATGCAGAAACTTACAAGCACCAGCACAATGTGAGGAAGTGGAGAGCCCCAGTCAGGTAAGTCATAAGCACTTTGTGTCATGTATCCATGACAAGATCTAAAGCAAAAGCACAAGCTGAATGTTTGTGAATGAGGAGAAAAGACTCTGGACACAAGGTCCAAATATTTGCACTCTTAAATACACAAACATTTTTTAAATCTATATATCCTTGTAAATTTTTACATATTTTATAATGCTCACACTGGTTCATACCTTGAATCTGAAGCACTATGAATAAAAGTCACATTTATTCATACCATGACATAAGAGATAGCTTTAAATATAACACGACTACAAAACAATCTACTTGACATGAGCAAAAATATGTTTTATGTACACGTAAAGGATTTTTCTGAATATCACCTCTGGCAGAAAACTGTCACATTAGCTGAGAGACCTAAAGGTATGTGATAAGAAAGGACTGGCTACATAAGACGGACAGGATGTCAATGGGAGATTGTTTGTTAGCGCAGTACAGACACGAAATAAATCAGTGAAATCTCTTTAAACAGTGTTGTGCTTCACTGTTCCTGAGAGCAGAGCAACACAAATCTAAAAAATTAATAAAATCTTTTCGGTAGCTTTGGCATAGAATCATTTCATTCCCTTTTGTTTATCTGCTGTAACCTTCTTGACGACAGGTTAAACATATAATGAGGAGTTTATGACCCTGGACATTAAAGATGTATTTATATAACGCACGCATACCATGAATGATCTCACTATGTTATAGATAATGCTGATCGTGAAAGCACCCTGCGATGGTGATGGATCTCGGTTAATCAGCCTTGTTAACACTGACTTCTTCAATCTCAGGATTTGAACACGTTATGATTTAGTTTTGGGAGAAATTATACCCTGTTTAGTGATCAGAAAGAGATCAGAATATACAGCTCTGCTTAGGAAGCTTAATGCATGCACTAAGTTAGCTTAGATACATAGCTGTTAAAACCCTGGTTACTGTTATATATAAGGGGAAAGTAGCAGAGATTTAGCTTCATAAGATGGCGCACTGAGATCATGTCCAAAGACAAAGGTTTGAAAAAGGCAGCCTCATTGTCCTTTCACAAGGGTGAGAAATCTGACAAGACGGCCCAAAGCTGACATTTCCTTCTCCATAACTGGTTGAATCAGTGCAAACAGCTCTCAGCGGTCACTCAGGGTGCAACTTTGTTTGGTCAATAGTTTAGTTCAAAGCTTTCATAGGAAAGTGCATCCAATGATCCAGGTGGTCAATTTTTACTGCTCATTCTTTAGATAGACCCCTGACACAAATGCGCATGCCTGCAGGTGGCTGGCTTAAATAAAGCTATGACTCTGAACAAGTAAAGTGAGCACAACGCAGCCGTGTGACAAGGACAGTTGATCACCAAGGCTGTGCTTGGATATTAATGCATGTATGAGGAAAGCATGAGGGAGACTATGGTGTAGCCAGAACAGAGGCAGATGATATGCTCAAGCAATTATGAGAAGATTTTGTTTAAACAGCGTGGGAATGTCAACAGCAGGCAGAGATATATGAAACCAGCTTATCAGGCAGCTAGAGATGGAGTTGAGGCCAAGGTGGCACGTAAAGCGAACGGTTCCACTGAACCGATCTATGCTGGCTCCGTTTCCCTTCATAAGGTGCTACATTAAGTGCCTCTGCTCCCCCCATTTCTATCCCCTGACCCTCCCCCTGTCCCTTTGTTAGGATTGCACACTGCCCCTTCGACCTCTCCCACCCCCTCTAGAGGTCGATGAGCTGATCCACCAGCAGAAGGGAGCGGGCCAAGTTGGGGATGCTGGACTCTGAACTGCCACTGTTGCTGCGCGAGTGACCACCTGAAACATGCCAGAAACAGAGAGAGAGAGAGATGGACATGGAAGAGTCGAAGGGAGATCGTGAAAGACAAGCAAAAGAATGAGTGATATTAACAGAGATTGTATGGAGAAATGAAGAGCGAGGAGTTGAGGAGGATGAGGGTGGATGTAATGGCAGAGCAGAGAGATGCATGAACGGGGGGCAGAAAGAGAAAGAGAGGCAGAGAGTGAGCTGGGATTATTTTACACAGCTGCATCATTACAGGGGGGAGTCATTCTAACACGAGGAGACTTTTAAGATTCACTACAAAGAGCCAAACACCTGCAGGTTGGATAGGCACCAGCACTACAGCCTCAGAAGCATCAGAAACAAAGGAGAGAGTGGGGATAATGTTAGAGCTTGATGGGCTATGAAGCTTTAATGTGACAAGCACACCCATACAAGTCTTCTAACATCTGTAGTGATAGGAAAGAGCTACTGCGACTGAATTAGGGGCTTAGTCATTCATCTCTGTGGGCTTCAGGAGGAGTCAGTGCTCATCTCAGGGTTTTTCTTAACCTTACCTTGATTTGAGTTTTTGGAGATGAGCACGGGAATAGGGTCAAACTCGTCGTCATTGCCCTTCTCCCCACACGACATGAGGAAAGCAGAGTCTGCGGTGAAGGAAGAGGAAGTGAGGGAATGATGGAGGGGAAAAGAAGTTAACTCAGCCAAGGAAAAGAGCAGAAAAGAAAGGAAGATGCGAGTAGATTAAAAATAGATGAAGCCAGGCAGTCACAGTATTTAAAAGCCATGCACTTACAGTGGCTTTTGCCCAAGGGTCAGTTGAGGCTGGTATTTAATGTGTCTAATTCAATTTCTGTATCGCATGGAGGTTTGAGTTTTCTGATGAACAGGCCCCCTGTGTTCTGGGAATGATCTGTGGTCTGTTCTGATTTTATGGGCTAAGATCCCCAGCAGACATGTGGGGTGCTGCGAGGGGGGGGTCTTACCAGGAGCTGACTGAGCAGGTGGCCGCTCCTCCAGACATGATCCAGAGCTGGAGCCAGAAGGAGCAGAAGAGCAGGAGGTGGCGAGAGCAGAAACAGACTGGTGTCCATGAGGAGAAGAGTGAGATAACAGATCGCAACCCAGCAGAGATTCCTCCCCAGTGAGAGAGTCTGAGACAGCACGACAGGAGGAAGCAAAGCCAGAGGGACAATGGGTCAGAGTTGAGATATAACTGTTAGCTGACAGAGCAGAGACCAAAGCATCTTTTTTTAGTAAGGCAGTTCACTGTTTTGTTGCTGAAGCAATATAAGTGTTGAAAGTATTGGTGCAATCATTAAAGTATTGTAGACTGAGAGCAGATTAAAAAAATCCTCCCAACGTTGTGAGTGAATGGACTGTAGCTGCTTTCAAACATGCATTGTGGTCTGGACATTTTCCTGAATCTTTCCTGTCAGCCCTCGAGTAAATTATCAGGAAAATATCAGTGTGCCCATGTGAGAAAGCGAACAAGTGCCTGCATTGATTGATGTTTCCAACGTTAGACAGATGTGAAACTGAAAAAAACCCACTAAAAGAATACAAATATCTCAGGATGAAAAAGAGGCGTCATACACGTAAAAGACAAAGACGAAGATGTCAACTTGGAAAGAACAGTGTCCTCTAAAAGGAAGTGCTGTCCAAAGTGGAATTTATACATCGTGTCACGTGCATGCTCTACCTAGCTGATACCACTCGCCTGAATGTTCAAGACATTTTCCTTTTGTTGTGAAAGGGTGTGACCCAGAAAATCTTCTGCTGTGTACTTCACATTTGAAGCACAAACCCTAGAAAAGGTTTAGACCCAATTTCATGTCTGAAAACTGTCACAAACTGTTTTTTTTTTTTACAGGCTAACACGACATATCAAGGGTCACTGCCAATGATAAATGAGTATCCTCATTGCAAAAAACAATATAAAGGGATCACAGTTGCCAACATCCCTCAAAAAAAACAAGACAACATCAACAGGTGACAGGAGGAACAGGACAACAACAACAATTCTTTGGTGAAAATACTGCAAAGAATTGTGTTAGGCTTCCTACTCTAAAAGTCCAGCATGCCAACCTGGAATGCTGGCAGGGATGAACTCTGGTTGGGTTGAATGGCGTTGAGCCTGGGGGGCTTCCAAACCAGGAATCAGTGAATCCACACACACTTCTGCTTTTGCTACATGGAGACATAATGTGGGGAAAAACCAGTAGTACAAAAAAAAGATTAGTAATAGCGAAGCAAAGTAGATTGCCGCAAGGATACAACTGAAGAGGGTGTTCTTTACTCCTTCCCCCAGTGAATCTTTTCTAACTTCATGATCATGAGAGTGAAGGAGGGGAAGGAAGGGAAGACGACGCATGCAGAGCAGATGGGGAATATTAGAGCAAGGCAGGGGACAAGAACAGAGCTGGTACCATTGGTGGAGCTCTCTGCAGTGCTATTGAAGGGGTCAGCTGGGGTTAAGAGGTCAGGGAGCAGCAGAGTTTCAGGGGACTTTAGTCCCTCAATCAGCTTCTCTGTGAGGGAACCAGAGAGAGAAGATGATCGACAGATGGCCAGGGAAAGAGAAAGCAGCATGTGAGGATTTTGCAGATAAATAAAAAAAAGAGCAGAAACTAAAAACATGACATTGTAGCAATGTGGAGAAAAATACATTTTGATAAAATCAATGAGAGCAGAAATATAGCAGACATCATGTTAGTCACAAGGAAAAAATATATTCAGGAAAGCAAGAAATTATAACAGGATGATGAGTGCACGAAGAATCATGTCAACATTTCAAGTTAACTCTATAATCAGGCTGCTTGCAGGATTGATCAAGTCATTGCATGATGCATTAGTTTACTTAGTTTCTGCCCACCACACATATACTTCAAATTTAGTTAGTAGAGGGAAATCCTATCAAAGGATAAAACACTATCCTTTATCAGTAGTATCAAACCAAAGAAATGCTGAAGAAAACACGTTTCCACACGTTTCCACACTTTTACATTACAAACTTCAACAGCAAACATTTAATCATACAAACAAGCCACACAGAATGCATTAATGCACTCACCTCTGTCAACATGCTAACCGTCTCAACCCATTTTGAACCGGTGCATACAAACAAGCACAACTCTTTGTTAAGTCAGTTTTTCCCTATGTGCATTAATTTACTGATTTGAGCGAGTGAAGAACAGCCCAGGAATGAAACACCAAATTATTGACTTTTCATTGCAGCTCATACTTACAGGAAACCGCTATGGGGGAAAATGGAGTGGGGGTCTTAGACAAGGAATGTGTTGACTCAGAAAACGGCACAGCAGATGTGACCTTTAGCCCCCTTCACTATAGGAGAAAGGCCAAGACTGATGAAAAGCCTTTTATAAATTTGAAATGTCACAAAGCAAATTCTCGATATCGGCCCAAACAGCTCAGTATCAGTTGAAATCTCATGTTTTCTAACCAATTCAACTGCTGCTCTGCTTTTCTTTACTCGTGTATATCCTTGTGTGCATCCTATTTGAAAGAAAGTCCAAGAGACAGCTTAGGCTAGGTAGAGAAGATTAACCACACCCTGGTTATGTAAGAGCCTCAACATTCTCATCCTGTCAGTGCAACTACCCAAACAAGGTTACACAGAATCACGCCCAACCAGAAAGAGCTAAAGGCTAAACTGAAGGGAGCATGAAAGGCTTTGTCATAATTTTACCACGCTAGCATGCTTAACTTTCTCTTGTTCTTAATAGCACTGGTAAGTAGGCTCCTCCAGCAGTAAAGCAATCCAATTAACAAAGGAGAATTTGTCCTTAGCATTGCCAGGCAACAGCAATAGCAGAGATCTGCAAATGAGATGCGATCTAGCTGTAGCCACCGTCTCTATTCATGGAAGCTGACAAGGAGCCTCTGTGAGGCTGCCTGCTATGTCAACAAGATAGGACTGTGTACAAATCCCAACCACAAAACTAGCAGTCATAAACTAACCCATGGGAAGTGAGATAACCAGGGAACTACCTCAGATTAAATAAAGTGACTCAGTAGCTCTAGGAATATATTTGTTTGACTGAGAATCTAAGGTATGGCTTGTATTGCATGTTGTGCTGCGACAGGAAAATTACCTGTGGTGTCAGAGAGTGAAAGGTTATTAAAAGGATCCGGGACAGTCAACAACGCTGCACCTGCACTCATGATGCCTGCAGATCTTTCAGCTTAACATTGCACAGTGAATAATGATGGGAAAGAACAAATTAAGCCAAGTGAGAAAAACAAGAGGAGACTGGTTTGGACTGGAGTTTGGAAAAGCTTATTTTACATTCTCAAGAAGACAGCATTACAGAAAGAGTACATAACTGGATGTTTAGAGAAATCTCCACTTGATTGATGATTGATATGTAAAACAAATTTAAGCCTATGGGGACGTAAAGCAATGAAGCAGCATAAGAGGAATTAAAATAAAGTCTTACCTGGAAAAGCAGTGAACCCTGGAATAAGATTTTCACTGGAACCCGTGATCTTCTCCCCCGGTGCAGCAGCTGTGCACAGACAAACAAAATTATTTTCAGGTTACACGACTACTTACCAATGAGGCATTTGTATATATTCATTGAGTCCAACTTACTCTCAGCTAGCTTTGCAAAGTCTTTGTTAAGCAGCTCCTCCGCCGTTAGCTTGGAGAAGTTATCATCCCCAAAGGGGTTCCAGCTGGGCTGAGCGGTGGGTGCAGCGAGGGATAATGGGACGTCACCTTCACCTGGATGATACACACTCTGCTGGGACGAGCAGGGGGAGCCAGAAGGAGTAGTGCTGGCTGATCTGCAGAGCACAGAGGTGTAAACATAAACAAGGGCAAGAATGCACGTTGACATTTGATCATGTTTGTAAAGTCGATTGACTCTGACCTACAGATCTATGCAAATAAGAGTGAATGAACAGAGTTATTTAAAGACTGAATTAAGTGATTCTTCTTGAGCTGGATTCTCTGAGATGTTAAAGGGTCATTTATTCTCCTCTGGGGCTCAGTCGTATGAATGGACTTTCTATTGGCGACTGAGCTCACTCGCGGCCATGAAAGGACAGTTCATGCGCAGATCACTGAAGGGAGTTAATTCTGCTTACTTGGACTTGTTGAGGCTGGCCTCAGCTGCAGCCGCCTGAAGTAGCTGAGTGGACTTGCTAACTGGAACCCCAAACACGGCACTGTGGGTGACATCACTAAGGATGCGCCTGTGGCCACTCTTAGGGGCTATCTTTGGCGACGATGGGGGCGTCAAAGAGCCAACTTTTGGCAACTGATTCCCTCGGCCAGCCATCTGTAATGACAAGATAAGAGTGAAAATTGGAGATTAGGGATAATGAACTGACGCTAAAAGAGAAGAATATCTGGAAGAAACAAACAAATCAGACCCATAGTCATAAGAAGCAGCAAGATGATCTGGAAAAGAAAATCTTAAGATGTTTTAATGAAGACCAACAAAACCATAGCTTAGAGAAAAGGGTTATGGAAAAGATAAAAAAGTACTCCCATCACATAGATTGGACAGAAACCGATTCACCTCTTGAAATTATTAACCTGAAGGTAGAGTAGGAGCAGGAGGGCTATAATAGAAGCAGTGCAAAAGTAAATCATTTGGTTATATCATGATTTTTATAGTATTTATGAAACAACAGAATTACATTTTTCTAAAAAAGACATTTAAAAAGCATTTCTAGCTACACAGCAGCAACACGCCAACACTATAATTCTGCCAAGAGAGAAGTTAAATCTGGATGTGATTCGTTAGAGACGAGCCAACAATCTGCCCCAACCCAAAGAGCAGCAGAGGCAGCAGGAGTAGGATGTTACCACAACCTGTGGGTCAGTTGGAGGACCAGCCACTGCAGACTCAGGGATGGGTGTGAGATGCGGAGCGGCTGTTTCATGGACTACATGCTGCAGCTGCTGCTGGTATTGCAGATGCAGAGTAAGAAGTGGAGGAACAGGTTTAGCTTTGGACTGCAGCAGGGTAGATGCCTGAGACGCTATTTGTTGTTGTTGTTGTTTCTGCTGTTGGTGATGGAGGCTCGGAACCATTTGATGCTACATAGAAATATCAGACAGCCAATCATGAGGAAGGCTCAGTCTAAAAGTTTGGTCAGGTTTATATAAATATTTATCATGTCATATGTATCATAATCTTTTCAATGATTGCTCATTGACAAGTACAGCATATTGAAATACAATCACCATCAGTGTTAAATTTTTATCAGAAAATACAGGAGAGCCCGACAGACACTAGAGGGAGAAATAGACTGATAATCTAAACTGTGTCTGTACTGCTGATTAAAATAAATACATTTGCAATACCTGGGGCCACAGTGTCCTTTGGAGCAGTACCTCTCCTTTTGTAAATGCACAATTACTTCATTACAATTACAATCAACTTGAAATATTTTTGCAAAAAACTCTCTCAAACCAAGCTGTCACCTTTTTATCAAATGTATGTCTAATTCGTTTTCTGAGTGAGAGCTAAACACACAATATGCAGCTACAAAGTATTCCATTATTGTTTTGTAAGGACGCCTACCTGCTGGTTACTCTGCAGGCTTAAGAATGCTTGTTGCTGCTTCACGAGGAGCTGGTGATGCTGTGGTGTAGCCTGTGGCTGCACGTTAGTCGTCTGAGCTGTCTGTGGTGTAGCCTGTGTGGCAGAGGACTGTGGAGAAGGTTGCACAGCAGTTGCAGCTGGAGGTGGGACACTGATGCCAACACCTGCAAGATGAAAAACTAGAAAATTAACTTATTACATTAAAATGATATCTTTTAAGTTACAACCACTTTTCTGATGGCATGAAGAATCTACATAAATAACAGTTGAATTAATTACATTAAGGCATATGTGCACGAAATCTTGACATTTGTGTGTGTGTGCGCGCATGTGTAGAATTGCATGTTTCCCTGAATGTCAAAAAATAGAAAATGTTTTATTTAGCTGGTAATAATTTATTGAAATTATACTTTAAGCTTTCTCCCCACTTTCATCTGAAGACAAACAGCATTTTAAGATAAGTGATGCCTTATTTTGCTTTGTTAAACAGATAAACGTTTCTAGCTTTACTCTAAAACTACTACAGTATCCTGGGCTTTTTGTTTGAAAAAATTCTACATTTTATATCACACATACTACCTAGAAGCATCATCATCTGTTTCTTCTGTAAGTGGGTCACAGATGAACAGAGGGCATGAAAACAATTAAAAGCCTTCTAAGAATCAGCTCATTGCACCTGTGTGAATACAAGCCGAATTCTTGAGCAGTTCATTCAGTCCAATAAAACAAGTCCTGAATTTTCTGTAGAGAATATTATTACCAGAATAACTGTCACTGTAAAGACAGACTTGTATTATTAATGGTCTTAACACTGACATATGGACATATTAAAGAGAAACTTGTACCTATGGCCTGGGGCCCTCCAGCAGCCACATTGGGCCTCTTGCGTGGGGTGAGAGCGGGCTGGATGGGAAGAATGCCTATAGGCTGGGGCTGAGCCTGACCAGCCTTGGGCCTTTGTCGAGGTGCAATTGAGGTTTCTGTGGTTGGAACGGGGTCTGTAAGCCTGGTAGAAGGTTAGAAAGAGACATGATGAGAAAAGGTAAAGTAGCTTATCATGATAAAACTCAAATTCTTTGCTTTAATGCAACTCACCTGGCTTTGGTTTGACTCTTTTTGGCCACTGCTTCACTGGCTCTGATAGGCTCAGGAAGTTTTGCAGGAATGGGCAAATTCTACAACAGTAAGAGAATTTACAATTTATGTAATTTTATATAAACTTGGTTCAATCAGGACAATCATTTCTCTGCCAGAAGAATTTTGGTAGGGTGCAGGTGAGTTCTTCATCCCAAGAAGTTTTGTTTCTATGACATGTCACCACTGCTGTAGTATGATATACCAGCAATGCACTTTTTTTTTTTACGATTTATTTGACATCATGTCATCACTAAATTTGGCAGCTATACAGTAAAGAGTTGCCTTACAACTAAAACCATTGTAGATGACTCACTTGTTATATTTAATATCAACACTACTGTATATTCTCATCTCAGATTCCTGCCATTCTTGTGGCAATGCTGACTTACATGTACATTTGGGATTGGACACTCGCGTCGAGCCAGTTTAAAGGCAAAGTAGGAAATTTGGTAGATGTCTGGTCTCTTATCCGGGTCAGGTTCCAGCATGTATCCTGAGAAGTCAATGAACACGCCATGTTTATTTTTCATCAGAAACAGGAAAATTCACAGTTAAAGGTAACTGCCCAAATACAGGATACACATGCCGTAAGTAGGACAGTGATTATAATGTAGTTAGAAGGATACTTACGAATGAGACAGTGCATGTCCTGGGAGTAGCGGGAGATGTCTGGGATAGTGAAGCTGCCGTCACAGATAGCTACTTGACTCTCCCCAAAAGGAAGTGTGAAGTAGCAAAGTTTATAGAGTAGACAACCCATGGCCTATACAGATGAGAAAATCAACACACTGTAAATTAACGTGATCATATTGTCATCATAATGTAGCATAGTGGTAATGAACTAAATCCTTCTCACCCAAATGTCTGCCTTTGTTGTGATGACTTTTCCACCGTAGAGGTTGACCATCTCTGGAGCGCGGTACGACAGGGTGGTGTACCTGGTTTTAAAGACAACACCAGTGATTTTCTGAACTCTGGTTAGAAAAACAAATAGAAGCTATAAATAGAAACTCACTTTTTGATTTCCTCCTCCACGACTGGCACTCCTTCTGTCTGAGGATTTTGGAAGTGGTTGGTGGCGCTTCCAAAGTCACAGAGCACGTAGTGTCCCCGGTCGTGCAAAAGAATATTTTCCACCTGCATGAGGAAAACATGATGAGACCTGTCAGAACTGATAGTACCTGATGTTAACAACAATGCCAAAATGTGTTACTTTAGCATTATACACTCTTGTATAATGTATGTTTGGAAATGAATTCGACCTGCCTTGAGATCTCGATGGATGATGGGACTTTTGCACTGGTGGAGACGAGCGACTGCCTCGCATGTGTCACAAAAGATCTGTAACACCTCAGGTTCAGTGAAGCCCGTCTGTAACCGCTGATTCATTAGGTTGACCACCTGCCCACCTACAGACAAAATAGGTCAACTACGAGACTGATAAAAGAGTTGTTGCTGTTAATACTGTTCCTATCTGATCATTTACTGCTGTTTTATGAATAACTTGTATTTATAGGTTAACTCATTTTTTCATAAATTTTTGGCAGACTTGAATCTGTAAGGTCAACAGTAATTTTGCTGTTTAAGGTTTAAATAAGGACTAAAATAATGAACCAACTTTCCACATTTAACAATAAACAAACGTTTACATTTATTTATTTATCCTTTTTACTTTCCACATGGCACTAATGAAAAAGGTCTTAAATCATTTCACCAAGTTTTATTTCTGTTAAACAGCTGCAATAGTGTTAATGTTTGAACTTTCTATTAATAACACCACTCAGTTATGTATTGACTGACAAAGAGGTTGTATTGACCACATTAGCTATCTGTTGAATGCTTGCTTTTGAACAGGACAGGGTGCTGTGAGAGGCTGAGGGTAATGGAGCTTCGAATTCAGCAGAGACAGAAACATGGGGGTGGGCCAACTTTACCTCGACAGAAGTCCATTAAGATTAGGACTTCCCACACATCACCAGCTCCAACTGCCGTTATGCTGGAGTCCAGGAAACCAACAATGTTTTTGTTGCCCACAAGATCCCTCTGTGTAAAAAACACAGACAGAGCAACAGTGACAAATAATGTAGATACAGTTTTTCATGGATTTTACTCATTTGGTTTTGGTATACAAAATACATCCATGTTTTTTAGTAATTCAGTCAGTTTTTAACTGTAGAAAGTCTGATTCTGAGCCAATGGTCTAGAAGAAATGACGATAACCATCCAGCAAAAGCCATGCCACCCAGGGTGTGGCTGCAGGAAGTGGTTGGTTTATCTTGCAGTGAAGACAACCGGATTAGCAATGGGGAGTAAAGTGTCAATTCAACAATTTCAATGGAATTCAATGTGTTTCAAGAGCTTAAGCTCCAGGGTCAAAAAATATTTTCAGAAGTAGTACTTCATGTACAATTAACTTAAAGCATTCAGATTAAGTCATGTTCAGATGAGAATTATTTTAATGTCAATTCTGAATTTCTCTGTATGTGGTAAGTTTTACTTAAATAATATTGCTGCTGTTAATGTCATCCATTGCGACCCTTATGCACAGGAACACGATCTGCTCTTAATATACCCCCCTTTCATGTATTTTTTTGCTGCACTTAGCAGTCTGTTAATGGACTCCTACTCACCATAATCTGGATCTCAAGTTTGCAGACCTGCAGATCATCTTCATTGTTGACGTACATCCTTTTTAGTGCACATCGAACGCCTTGATGAGTCCGCACCAAAAAAACTATGGCAAAACCGCCTGCAAATGATGAGAGAGATAGAGCGAAGACGAAAATTATAATAAACACATACATTTTTTTTAAAAGTCTGAAATCAGCTAATTTTGTGATCTATAATTACTATCTCAACATATCCTGTTCATCTGCATTTTTTAACTTTCCATAAATGGTTACATCATTGTTAACTGCTTTATGTGCAGTACAAGGTTGACTGACAAACTGGTAAGAGGAGCGTAAAACAGCACCGTGTGCGTCAGCCGTCGTACCAAAGGGGAAGATGGAAGAACTTGACAAAACTGTCATGGGATAAAGGAAGTGAGAGAATTACTCATCCCAACTTTGGTCACAAAGAGACTGACACGTAAGAAAAATCTGTGCATTTACAGCAACAGAAACCACCAGATTGACTATTCCTGTAAATTATAGTAAAACTCTACATCGGAAGGAGTGATTGTTAGTGCATTGAAAGGTGGATAGATGGATTATGCCAAGTCTTGATCTTCAGTGACTCAAAGATATAATCAAGTTTGGCTTTAAATTTTACGTCAACAGCTTTGAGCAGTTTTCACTGGAATATGTTGTTCCTGCAGCTCTTCACGTTTTCCCCCTCACAGCTTGTGTTAATTCCGTACACAGGGCTGACTCATCCAGCTGGCATCACTAAGCCAAGGACAGTTCCATGTGACTGATCTGATTGACATTTGATGAAGCCTGGCTTGGGCTACACCACTGTGAGCTGTATTATAAAATAAATTAATGAAGCATAAAAAGAAGGGAGTCAGCAACATTAAATAATTTCATAAGGCTTTTTGAAATGGTCTAACAAAGGCATAAAAAGCTCAGACTACTTAGAAATGATGTGTGCTGCAGTGCTCTGGCCTGTCCGGGTGGAGCTGGGTCACCATGGATGACAACACATCACAATTTCCCTGATGCCATAAGCTATAAATTCAATGACTTGAAATTTCACGATGAAGGGCAAAAATCTGCAGCACAGTGACAGCACTGGCAGGGCTCTGACTGATAAGTGTTCTTAAGACACCGAGATGCAATGTGCTTCAGGACAATAGATGCAATGTGCTTCAGGACAATATCAAACTGAGGACCCGTTCAGACCTGGTATTAATATCTACGATCACAAGTGGTCAAAGTTACGTTTGTTGGTTTACAACTGGCATTCAAATGTTTCCTGAATGCATCTCCTGTGATCAGCTCTCACTTCCCCACTCTACATGGAAAAAAACAAGTCAATGCATCTGCACTGAGAAGTTTACATACACATCAGATTCAATGTGTCCCTGGACACTTTTGCTTTCACACAGCAAAAACAATGTGGCCACATCATGCGTCCCAGTCCACCTCTGAATGTGGTTCGGAGGTGGACTGGGTGGATCTCAAGATGCATTTGGGTGTGTTCAGAACTGCATTTGTGATCGGATCACCGAGGCTGGATGTTTATATCAGGTCTGCATGGGGTCTAAATGAGAATGAGAATCTCAATCTGTGTGTGTGTGCCGTCCGTCGCAGTACAGACAGCTGAAGCCCTGTTGTCTCACAGTCTAATCTGAGATGCCTGTGAGAAATGAGAAGGATTAGCAGCCTTCTTAAGCAACATTTAGCAGTGGTCTACTATCTCAGTAGACAGTGCAACCAAATGACTGTAAGTACAGCCACAAATAGCCACTGCCCCTTGACGTAACTAACTGACTGGTAGGATTATACCACTCTAGCTTATACATACACGCTGAAGCAAATGGACACAAAAATACACCTTTAGGCAGTGCTATGAAATACGCAGTGAATAGCCACAGTGTTCGCTTACATTTTCTTATCAGCGTAATGGATTTACATAGCTACTACCATCTAGGCTTTCAACTCTACATAAACACATGTCCTCATGATTACTATGCTGTTTACAAACATGCTCTCTGTAAGGTTACACCACACTGCAGTGACAGCGAGAAAAATAAAGGCATCACAGATCTGCTTAAGAGAAAATTAGCATGGACGATCCAGGTAATGCTTTTGCTTAGAAAACTGAATGGTTTTGGTTTACAAATGAGGGGATGACTAACTGAAGCTCGATGTCGTGCCATCTAAAAGGCAGGAGCGGGGGTCACATTCTCTGTTACAATGCAACATATTACACATCTCCAAAACAGGGCTAATGTTACCAGCAGTAACTCTATATGGACAAAAGAAACCATATCATGTTGACAGTAAAGACAGAAAGAGCTGTGTCCTGGAATATCCAGAGAGGAACTGGTTGAGAAGAAATCACAGACATCTGCCTTAAACCCAAATGTCTCAAAAAAAACACACAAAAAAACTACAAAAATGACCATGTATGCAGCTTTAGGCCTTAAGCTAGAAAAGCCAGTGTAATGTGTCCCTGTGACTGCTTTTGTCTGTACGTTGGGAAAAGTTCAACAATGACAACAAAGGGAGTAGACAGAAGGGGGAAAAAAAACAAATTTCTAAATGGAACAGCAAGCCAACAAAGAGCAACAGCGCAGACTATAACCAAAACCATCTGAACAAATAGGTCTAATGTCACTGGGGGAGTCACATAGCAAGCAGGAGGTCCACTGCTGCAGCGAGAAATTATAATCTGCAGAAAACTAGTCCATGTAGTGTTTAGTAAAATGTATAATCTTGTGGAAATCATTTCGTTTTACTATCTTTGCGAGGTCATGTTTGTAAGGCCAAAGGGTGACCAATCGAAACTCTGTTAAATATCTGCATTGAGGCCAAAGTTTTTCCAGAGCTGATAAGAAAAACTACACTATCTCTTCACCCACAGAAATGAACAAATTCCACTTGAAGTTCCCACTGACATCCCGGTGCAGGGGTTAGATGTCTAAACCCATTCACAAAGCCACTTTGGTGCCAAACAGATGGTGGCCATCTATAGTACTGATGAATTAATCAGTCTTTCATCTATTTTTTAGTAACAGGCACTCGAGGCTAACAGAGCACAGCAGACTCTCATTGCAAAGACAAATGACCAATGACAAACTTTTACCACTATCACAATGCCAGATCAACCATGTTCTGGTAAATACTTCCTTCAAAGTTAGGTTGAGTTTCCAACAAAATTATGATCTCAATGATTTGGGTTCCCCTGCAACTAACCACTGTTTAAACTGGGAGATGTCCAGGTTGCCTATATGTTACTATTTAGTATGAAAGTCCCACAATGTGAGGAGGTCCTATTTTATTTAGCTGTACATACTAATAACTGGTCCCACCTTTAAGCAAACAACAACTTGTTCACCCTTGCTTCTTGAATCTGCATTTGAGGTTTGTCACTCCCTCTGCAAATACCAGGACAGATGACTCAGCTGGGCTTTGGTTCTTAACAACAAAGCAGAAATGCGGTTACACCATTTTCCCCTGAGCAACTTAAAGAAGACAGTCTCCACACACCCTCTGCTAAACATGAATGTTCAATCCTGAAATATTTTTGATGATTGCACAGAAGATCACTAAGTAAACTCAACCTGACCCTGAACCAATGAGCAGGACCACTGTCTTTTAACAACATGCAATAAAGGAGATTGCGTATCATCACACTGGGACTGTAGCAGGGCCAGAGTCCAACAGTCCTCATTTAACTCATGTTACCAGAGTGCCCATCCTCACAAGTGTGCTGAGATCCATACTGTGGATCTGGTTGAAAGTGCTCGTGTAACAAGTGTGTGATCCACACAACAACAAAAAAAACACAATGTTCACCTTCTGCGACAATTTCCTCCACGGTCACTTGATACCGTCCGATGGTGAAGACGCGTCCGATGAAGCTGCCACCGCCGCCGGAACCAGCGCCTCCTCCGCCGGCTCCGGAACCAGGCCCGGTGCTCACCAACTCCCGTCGAGAGTCAAAAAATTTCTTCATGTCTCTAAGATGTTATCCTCAGCTCGGTCAAGTCCAAAAGTAGATCCGTGTCCTCGCAACAAAGGCTCAGCGTGGATGTGCCCGGTCCCTGCTACCTACCGTGTCGGCGTTAACGCTTTAGCAGTTTCTCAATGATTGAATGAACGCCGCTAGCTAGCTTCAAGCTAAACACAGGCTAACTAGCTGGATCTCAAAATATCCCAAACACTGCGGTCCGACGCTCCAGGGCTAACTCATGGTTTGAACAACAGAGTCGAGTGTAACTGAGAAAATGTAAAAATACAGTAGCGTATATGCGGAAGTCACTTCTTTTCCACAGTGAACACGAGCTCGGAGCTGGCCGGCCAAATTAGCCAGAATGAGCCAGAAAAAAAACACTTGTAAGCCGCTAGCTCACGTAGCCAGCTAGCCGGGCAGCTAGGTGCGGTGACAGCTGTCAGTCGATGGACTGGCAGTCAGGGAGGTCCTCGGTGTCCAGTGCAGCTTATTACACATCTCCACCGGCTAACATCCACCAGAAAAGCTGCTTAGTTCACCGTCTGTGTCGCAGTGGAAGTGACAGACCCCCGCTGCCTTTATGCCCCCGACAGGCTTTAAGAACAAGGCTGCTCGGCTGATTTAATGATGGAGCTAACGTGGCTACAAACACAGTAGGTGCCAGAGGAAAGAGTCATGTCCTCTCTGCGGACTCCATCCTGCTGGACTCCTCGAGGTGTGATTGGTCAAATGAGGAACAACTTCCTGTCAATCTCCTGCTCTCATGAGGCTCTGGTCCCCACGGTGAAAACCTGGTGAAAACCCGACAGGCCCCCGACCTCAGAGGAGTAAATCCTCCAGCAGCCCGTTCTCATTACCCCCTCCTGCTGGTAACACAGGTCCGGCCATCTGTGTTAGCTATGCTGCAGAAGACTCTCTTCATTTGCAGACTCTCTCTCTGCAGATCGTGTAACATTTGGTCTGATTTTGAAAAACAAAAACGATGTATTCTGCTGCTGAAATATAGGTTGATCACAAGAGAACACTCCCTGCCTGTGTGCATAAAACATAATAAGATGCAACTCATTTCATTGTCATGACACTAAAAAAAAAAATTAGCCCTGAAACGAATTCTTTAATTCTAACTGTAACCATTTAATCCTAAACATAACCCTCAATTCTAACCCTGAAAACATGAATCTTTTCCAAAAACCCAAATGTAGATAAAACGTACTTGGACACAGGTGAGGGTGTATAATGGTCATGGCCGAAACACATAATGATCCTGGAGTTTACTACTGATGATGTGTCCTATAATATTAGAAACATAACACATTCATAATCAGTGATCCAAGGGTTCTTTGATGAATTCTGATTTTCTCCTTGGCCAGATTCAATAAATATTTCAGCACAAGACATCAAAGGGATCCTGAACACTTTCTTCGCTGATGAGTTGACCATTGACCAGCAGATTTTCCACAACCTATATAATAAAAGAACCCCAAAAATAAAGGATATTGGCAAACTTAAACTAAAATTTAAGGAAGCCTATCAAAAGGTAAATGGTAAATGTTTTTTTATTTATATAGCACTCACATGCTTCACAGTACATTCACACACACATTCATACAGTTCTCTAGTAAGAAATCATTTTAATAAGGCCAGTTTGGCTAAGTGGAAATGTGAGAATGGGGGGAGCTTTGCATTAGTCAGTGCATTGCCTTTGACTCCAGTTCAACTGTCGAGTCGACTGATGATGCACGGGGAGTCATCGATAATTACTTCCTAACCCTAACCTCTAGCATATGAAAAATAATAAGATACAACATATTCCATTATCATGACACTGTAGAAAACTCAGACCACAACAATTTACAGTGTCTCTGCAGTATGGAATGACGGTAGAAGGTGAGTCCCTGAGATCGATCTGAGAATTTCCGTCAAACTTACACTAATCTTTCCTGCAACAGTTTGTTTATTATTCATTTTTAACTTTATTTGCACTCTAATTGGAAAGCCATGCAACTGAGGATATAAGTCAAAGGAACCCCACTTGGTTTCAGTTTTTACAATCTCACAACACATCTATGAAAACAATTGTGAAACAGGAACTCAGCACAGGTCATGACAGTCTCATGCATTAATTAGAAATGACTTTGGAAATGATTAGCAGCAATCAGATTATTCCATCCAACTCTGTAGACCTCCTGTCTCAGAATGAAAAAAATTCTGAATATCACATTTAGTGATCTCCTGTGGGCTGTGTGTTGACAGGCAATGAACCAACAGGAGACTCCACCCTCAAGGTTAGGCAACTTCAGGTTAGAACAAAATGCCAACCTCTTTCTTCAATTTGTTGTTGCACCAGGTGTCACACTGACCAAAAATAGATTGTGTTTGTTGGATGGAACATAACTCAATTCTTTAGTAAGAAGATTAAAATTAAATTTAAAATCTCCAACAGGGGTCACTATTTCATCATGAAATAAATGCAGCTACACAGACCTTTTTTTCAGGTTCAGGTTGTGTGTGTGTGTGTGTCTTTGTGTGTGTGAGTGTGTGTGTGTGT